CTAGGTACCAACAGCTTACAACGAGAAATGCTGTGCCAGAGGTAACCGCCCACAGTACATGATCAAAGTGCTACCCGTTCTATGTGGAAAAAATCATGACGCAATGAAGGAAGTGACTCTGTCGTTTAATACCAGCAGCAATGCTAGCGGCAGGAGCACTCGAGTATGTCTGATATTTGTACGGAGGACGTAGAAAAGAGGACTTTGAATAGATGTCGGTATTCTTTGAATGACAATTTCGCCGCAATGAATCTACGTATACAGCTTAATCTGGAGACACAGTCTCATTCGGACACTTTACGCTTCTCAGACTGCGTGATAAACAGCGTGACGCAAAAATAAAAAATGCCGTTTGTCAAAAATCAACACATGCAGATGCTTTTCCCAGTCCTTCTCTTACACATTTGAAGGCGACCTACACCGGTAGTCTGAGCATTTTAAGGTCTAGTCAGAGCAACGTGCACAGAAGAGGTAAATCGAATTGCAGTCCCGAAGGAGGTCAAAAGCGAACTTCAGGAATGCAGATACGCACTGAATTTGAGTATGAGTACAAAGGGTATTAGCTCCAGTACCGAGACTCAACAATAAATGTCTGTATAACGGGAATTCTTTTCTAGAAAATCTGAGGTTATTCACATAGTGTTGAACGCGGCCAACATTATAGTGAGGTTTCAGGGACGAAAAGCTTTGCTCTTGGCACTGGTTGCTGTTCCCCTTCAGTGCCCAGCGCCGCGAAGAGATTCGCCGACAAGGAACACAACAGCTTTATTGCGACCAAGCGAGTGAATGCAAAATGTACAACGGCCTTGTTCTGTATATTTAGGAGGAACTGTTTGACCTCGATTAATGGCTGTCTGATAGGCATTTAGTGGAGTTTGAGGGTCTCAGTAGGTTTCAGGTATTCTGTGATCCCACCATCCTGATGATAACGATCCCCAGTTAAAGGTTCTAAAGACTGCTTTCAACAACTACAATAAGTTATGCGTAAAGACAATGTTCAGGGTACTGCACTTCAACACTGGTGAGCACAAGAGCCTAATAACCAAACAACCGAAAAATGCAAATGATTATCAGGCCTTGTTAAAGACTGAATGGTGCCAAGACGCGCGCTAGGCACTCTAGACAAATTAAGTCTAGAAAATGCGAAACTTTCAGAGTGAAGAACAAGATTTCTCCCATTGTTAACGGTAGAAATTCTCGGGCATCTCACTGTGGGTAGAAGAGAAGTATGGAGCTAGTGTATGTATAACATGTAGCTTTATTTAATCTGAATTTAAACTTGATATACTCCGTTTGTCATTCCGGAGGAATAAGTAATAAAGGTGGTGTAGATTCAAAATTGAACTACCGACCCAACTAGAATCCATGTAATCCCCGGTTGTCGTATAATCCAGTTCTCACGGCTCTTACTCACACAAGGAGAAGAAGTTGTAAACATCTTCCAAGTAAAGACTGTGAGAAACAAGTGATTCTGCCGGGATTTGAATGAGTAACATCACTTTAATTTGCGAATCAGTGTATCTCGTCACTCGAAGTGTATCTTTAAATGAATTGAACTAGAAGCCCCAGATCCTTGAACTGATGCGAATTCATGTAGGGTTCTCCCTTACCCGTTTGACATAATAATTACTCATCTGCATAGTTACAGCAAAATCACTATGCCGACGCCTAACGCTGATCTGCCCTGCTGCTAGGAGTAGATCACGTAGATTGGTTCCCCATCTGTCTTAAAACTCGATCACCCTGGTCACTCAGCCTGACGAAACTTTCGTGTGAATGGTGTAAAATTGCCCAACAACAAATCTTTAGATTGTTTCCCACACTTTTAGGAAAGAGAGAATTCGTCTTCAGTATTATGTGGCAACTGTAACTTGCGGCTAATTGTTTATATTGGAAAAAAATATGGCAGCGTTCCCGTCGCCGAATGACCCACACTGTAACTAATCCCTCTAATACAGTGAAACAGCTACGCCTGTCATTCACAGCAGATGTACAGAAAATAAGTCGACCCTCAAGATATCCGAAAATTTCTGTTCTTTTGAATTAACGGTATGGGAATACTGAAATCAAAGTCTTCACTTGGTAAAGACAGAGATGGTGCAAGTCAGGTAAACATAGTGAAAGCAAAACGATGTTTCTTCTTAGGTCACCTGGAGTAACAAGTAGAAAAATGGGCTAACGTGTTCTAAAGCTAAAACAGGAAAAAGGAAATGAGGTGATGCGGATGAGGTAGATTGCAGAGGTCATGGTTACAATGTTTAGGATGACTTCAAGCTAGTCCTCACCTCACAAGTATGGTCACTTCAAATTACTTGGGCACAACGATGACACCAAGACCGTCTTGTGTTATGGAGAAATGCAACGGGGTAGTTAATGCGGAAAGATATGCTAAAGTTTGATAACATCTTTGCCGTAGATATATACCAATCTAACTTTTTAGATAAGGAAATAAAATAGACATTTTGCAAAAAGATGCCTCCAATATGAAGTTCAACGTCTTCGTGTCCTATGTGAATCCCAGCTCAAGTAGACAATATTTATCAATACTTTCCGAAAAATGAACTCTATTGCAAATCTGTTCAATTTGGGTTCAGGTGGAACATAAAGTTGACGGAAACTTGGGGACCGCGCCTACCTGATTAGTCCCAAGAAGGGCGAAACAGGTAGTGGGCTGTCGAAGTGTACTCAACAACCTTATGGGTAGTGTATTACACCTGTCACTACTGTTTAGACAAGTCTCGTCCGATTTACGTTATCCTTGTCTGTATTCGGTTACCGGTCCCTTTCTTAACAAGCTATGAGCTGGTTGTTTGCGAAAGAGGGGCACAATGATATTCTTTTATTTCAGAATACCGCAGTACCTAATCTGTAGGAGGCTAATGTAACTTGGCATGCTCCATTACATATGCATGATCTCTGGGTGTCTCTCATATCAGATTCCCTTGCCATGTCTGCCAACGTAATCAGTATCATGGACCGGCCGGAAAGTTTGTCGAGCCATTTAATCCAACAGCTTGACTTGGAGACCCAGTGCAGTTCAGTGGCTTGAAAACATACCCGCTGAACTAGTTCAACTAGGACTAGCCCGGAATTTCATCTATCCGAGCTCATTTCGTAGCGTTTCCTCAAGGCTGTTAGATTTGATAATACCAGTGGCTAAATTCTCCCTTACAGTTTTGGTACCTAGCTTCGCAATGAAATGACTTTTAACGGATAATTACTTCCGTGTCACAATAGAATAGCACAAATTAACCGTTGTTGAAAACGTCTCCCAAGTCATTTTGGTACGCACCATACCTTATAATCTGAAAATTCGCTTTACCTGGCATGACAGGCTGATGACTGGTTTTCGGTTGCCTCCTACACGAAGATGAATAAGTCTCAAAAACTCATCCCCAAAATTATTTCAGTGTTTGTTGGTCTATGTCCATTAGTCCCAGAAGCTGGCAAATTTTTTCTGTCTCCGGTGTGAGCAGTACCTAGGTGGACGATGCTCTAAGAGATATGCAAAAAAAAGTCGAGTTGATTGGTTTCAGGCAACCACAACCCTTTAAATGCGTAAAAATAATTTAAGCACAACATGCAGACCCCAGCATTTGTGAAGACTGTTCAGTAAGGAGTGTTGGTTTGATTTTTATTAATAGTTTTGACCTGTTACGTGGTTGATTTATATGAGTGAGCACACCGAGATATTTTAAGGATTGCCGGTTAAAGTGCTAAAAATACTGTCCAAGTACGGATTTCACCATCTGACAGTTTACGATGCTCATTTTATTTTACCACTAGACAGATGCCTGTGTGGATTCTTCCCGAAATAACCGGAAAATGTTTACTGTTTTTGTCCTGGACGGTGTAAGTACCCGAAGGATGTCCTGTCGGTTAAAATGACGAAGGCGTTATTATGAAACAATTCTTGCATTACTTATTTGCAGATTCCACATTCATCAGACTATATTCATGCAATTCTAATCTCTATTCCTCTTTTATGACTGAACTGTTCCAACTGTTGCAAACCAAAGAATAATCACTTAATTTTCCAATATTAACTCTCCTCAGTGATCACTTTTCCCATAAGCACATGCTTTGGCAGGGTTTCATCAAACTGTCACGCGAAAGTTCAAGTGGTCGATTTTAGCTAAAAGCATTACCATTCGATCGCTGATGCCCAGGGACTCATGGGGTGTGTACGGGGCACGTGACTATCTTTTCGGCAGCTCTTTTGGTTAACAGTCCTGACGTCCATGACAGAAATCCAGACCATATTTTCCGGAAAAACAGTAGTCTCTCATCAATGTCAGTGACGAAAACCAGATATACTGTAGGGCTACATGAAAACTCACTCGTTTGCTAGACTGTCTCCATCAAACCTATTCAGAGATGTGATTCTCCTTTTAACTCCCTTTTTAATCCCCTGTCTCTTGCAAGGTGATTGTAGGCAATGCAAACCCTACCATTTCAAAGTTCAAGCGTATGAATGTTCTTAACAAGTAGATGCTTTGAGAGTAAATGTTTTACGAGACCCACGAAGTGACTTTGTCTCATTATGCACATTCCATGTGCCCTGAACGCGCAGGATGGGGGGGAAAATCAGGACAAACCGATTCAGATATCGTTAAATTATTGTAAAGTGCAACAACTCTTTTTTCTTGGAGATTCCTTGACGCCCTCAAGTATGATTTAATCTTCGCTGATCATGAATATTAGGTGTAATTTACGGACAGTTAGTGCGCGAAACATTGTGAGTATAATACACTAGTCCTTTTCTTTGTAAGTTCGCTCCATTGCGGAGTATTTTTCACCTTCATCCAGAAATACTAATTTCACATCAACAAATGTTTTGTTTATGACTATCGTTTCTACCAAATAGTACTATAAACTGAACCAGTTACCCTGCGAAAAATGATTCACCTCTTGCTAAACGATTAAGTACATCATCAGAGTGTACATCAGAGTGTGTTGGCCAGGTATCCTTCTTATGACCGTGTTTGAGACTGACTCACCAGTATGCGCATATATCTGGCTGTTGGCTGATTTGTCAACTCGCCATCTACCAACATTTTACGATATCGGTTGTGCTCATCCACAAAAAGTTTTGCATCCCTCCAAAACATTGCCGAAATCTGTTGTAGAACGACAAGACAAACGAAACAGAGAATCCTTTTAACGCTCATTCCAAATCGGGTAGATTTGAAAGTAATCAGGAAATTTCACTGTTGTTTTTCAGTCATATATTTGAATTTGTCGGGTAGGATATGCATTTAAAATGCGGGTCTTCCCTTCTTTTCAAGTGCCTATTTGATGCTCAGTAGAGTAGTCAGTGGGAACTTTCCTTCCACACGCAATACAAAGAAAATCCTGAACAGTGCCGGTAGCCGTCGGTAGCGTAATCACGTTTATAAGCACGTCCTGCCGACAACAAACTGGATAGCATAAAAAACAACTGTCTATTGGGCTTAACTCGCCCAAACCGACAATACCAAGCCGTAGTTTGATAAGTAAATAGGGCTGTTAAAGGTTAAAATGCCAAATACTATTATCATCATTGAAGTAACGATTGTTAAAGAACTAATCATTTTCATTCCAACACCCTTCCCTCAAAATAGCACTCATACTCAGGAAAACGAAGACTGTAGTAACAAGCTAAGGATTATATTGATCTCTGGACACTTCAAATCAGTAACAATGAGTTTTTTCGTGATTCACTCCTTTCAAGACACAATTAATCTAATTTCACTGGATATTTTCTGAAGCATTACACTGTAAATATAGTTTATCATAGGGCTATTCCTCAAGCCCAGACAGTTGAATTTGGTTTGGTGCAACCATTACTTTTTTTAAAAGGGGAATATTTGATAAACTGATGGGCCACACCAACGGTAGTTATACATCATCACCGACAGCACATCAGTTTAAAACATCTATTCTTCGCTACCGTACAACCATAGATAATTTGATGAGGTGAGATGGAAAAGGTCTTACTGCTAGCCCACCGAAATCATTCCGAAGTGCTCATTCAGGCACTGGTCCTGGACATACTGTTTGATTGAGGTCACCGTTAAGCATTCGGACAATAGTTTTCCAATCGTCTCGGTGAGAGTTCTCCAGTCTAAATCAGCTATGGTTCTAAAGCAACGGTTGTCGAGGATCTGAAGGCATTTCAGGTCCACTGCTCTAACCTCTCCTAGCCGCACAGTAAAACAGCCCGTGCTGTAGCCTGGTATGCACTTCCCCTGAGGTGTACGGATGTGCCATTTTACCGCCAAACGTGTCTAAAATGGCCAAACGAGACTCGAGCCCTGAATATTAATCCATTTACTCCATTTACCACAATTAATACAACCATCCTTATTACATGGCTAATTGCAGTCGCTTAGTGACGAAAATAATGTATCAAACAAATGCGCTTGGATTAATACCTCAGGCTACAATCATGTCAACTGTGATTTCCAGAAGGAATTTCATGAATTTGCGAATCGTGTCTTGATTTTTAGCCTGGATCATGAATTATTTCTTAGTGCATTTGATGAAAATAAATACAATGCAAGAAGGGAATGATTAAAAAAGTGACTTATCGTTTGAGGACAACTGTTGAGAGTACCTGTGTGAAGCGAAGAGAAGGATGCCCGTTCGTGTTTGATAATTGCGCGGACATGAATGCAACTTGACCAGATGTGGTTGAAGTTCGTAAGCCTTGAGCGCGACGCGAGTGGTATTCACGTAAACAGAAATGGATGGGAATATGTGTGTCGGCTGAGGTTTCAAGTGGGACAGGAATTGTTACGTGATTTGGGTGTTTGTGACGCGTGATCCAGTGAGTAACCGCCAAATTTTCGAAGCACACAGACAAGATCCCACTTCGGCCCTGTCACTCAAGCCGCTTACGATGAGCTCAGTTGTTCCACGTTTTACGTATCCGGTGGTCCAGACGCAATGTCTCGTAGTATGTATGGTGTGGGAATTCCGCTCAACCACTAGGTTGAAAACTCTACTGGACTGTATCCCAGTAAACAGTCACTTTTGCGCTGTATGGCTGTCTGGTTCTTTGGTCGATGTGGTGAACGATGTCGACTTCTCGTATAAGCACAGGCTCTGACAAATTGCAGCTCTGAACCTGAGTTGGACGGATATTACGGAGATCTACCACACCTGCTTCGGTCAGCGAAAAGAACGGATACAGTCATCCTGACGGGTGATATGAACAACCAGGTTGGATGCCCAAGCCAATGGGTGGTATCAGCAATGTTGTGGAATCTAGGTGGCTCGGGTGTGCTGCTTGGTTGTTGGTGTGTTTGCTGAGCTTGGCAGTTGGATTGCAAAAGTTTCATCACCAACCGAGGTGACACCGTCAGTGCACTCAACCCTGCACTGGCGATGTCACGTCGATTAGTGATGAAACGTTTTCAATCCAACTGTCAAGCTCGGCGAACAGACCAACAACCTGGAGGTGGTGGAAGTCTCTATTTGCAAGACAATCATGGACTCATAAGTTGACGATAGAGAGCCTCAAAAAAATATTATCGTTCATTCTGAGGTACTTCAATAATGTAATTGTGTGAGCTCGTTATCATTTCGCTTTCCGTCAGCATTGCGCGTGCTAAAGCAGATCATTTGCATTTTTCAATTTAAGCAAGTTTTATTAGCTCAAGTGTATCAAGCTAATCTGGTTAGAAAGCTACTGGAAACTCACAGTGATGCGGGTGACAAATATTGCACGAATATTCACGTTGGAGTCTTCAATGTCCGTACTCTATGTCAAATTCGGCAACAGGAATCCTCTGCTGAAACCTTGATTTCCCTCTCTGCCGACGTATGTTGTATCTCCGAAACACGCATACAAGACCCTACTTCGGTCGTGCACCTCAAGTCGCTTAGGATGAGCCCAGATATTCCGCAATACACTCTTCGGGTATCCGGTGGTCCTGACGCAATGGCTCGTGGTGAAAGGAAGAAGGCCTTCGCTGCGGAGTTATTTATTAGAAAATGCCAAAAGCGAAATTCTGCTAACAACGCATACTACTCGCGTGCCTCCCTGTTAGTAGTATCAGCGTTACAGTGGTATCTACGGTGTGGGAGTTGCACCCAGCCCCAATGATGAAAGCGCCCTACTAGACTGGATCCCAGTAAACAGCCGTCTCTGCGCTGTGCAGTTGTCTGGCTCGACTAAGATCACTGTAGACTGAGGCGGTTTATTTGTCGTATCAGCATACGCTCCAGCAGTCTGTGGTTCTGAGACTGAGAAGGGGGGTTTCATCAAGAGCTGTCTTGACCACTCGAGTCATTTGGATGCTACCAACTGCAAGACAGTCATGGACTCAATCGGACCATGTGTCTATCAGTTACCGATGGTCAGCCATAGTAAAAGTGTCGTTCCTTCTGGGGTGCGCAACTTGACTCTCATCATACCATTGTGTTGGCTCGGTTATCACTTCGATCTCCGTCAGCATTAGACGTGCTAAAGGGAAGCACGAATTTCACTTTGACGAATTTCACTACCTCCAGAGTATTGAGCTGATCTGGCTAGAGAGCTACTGGAGACGCCCAGTCATGAGGATGACAAAGATTGCTTGGAGGTTGAATGGATGCGAGTTAAAGAAGCTATGCTCTCATCTTCCGGAACTGTTTGTCTAGGCCATCTGGCTTGACTAAATGAATACTGGATGTTGTCGAGATCAGCGGATCTAATGACCACCAAGAAGGTTATAGAAGTAACCAGAGGCTGTAATGGTGCATGAGGAGTGTTAAAACGCCGAATAAACAAGAGCCTATTGATGTCAGAAAACGCTGGTAAATTGCGAAGACCCAGATGGAGAAGACGTTTGCTGCGGGTAACAGCCACGTCCTGTTTCATCTGACTTGACCAGCCGGCCAGAAATTAACAGGTGCAAGCTAATTGATCAACGAAAAACTAGGCGTCACCGAATCAACTTGCTAAAAAGATGCAAGGGTAATTCGTTCGTAAAATCACCAAGTTCTGCAATGAGCTGGGCACCAAAGAGCAGTTCAGCTAGACTATTTTAACAGTCTCTGGAGGACCATAATGAGGAATTAGCCTGCCATAAGCAATGAAAACCCAACTTGGAATATCATGCCTTCAACGTGACAAGGCATTCTGCCTTGCACACCCACTTGCCTTGCACCCCCCACTCATCAAAGATGTGATGAAGCCATAGTGAGCAGGTTGATGACCATATTTCAGAAGATCAGAAGAAAAACAGAATACCAGTGGAACGGAATACCAAAACATTGATTACAGTTTTCAAAAAGTAAGCGAGAAAGTCATGCAAAACCAAAGTAACCTCAGCTTGGTAGCCGCCGCATCCAAGGTGTTCTTTGGCATTATTTTGAGGAGGTTATCCTGAGAAACAGGCCCGTGAGAATCGAGCTGGGTTTTGCCCTGGCCGATGATGCACTGACCATATGCTTACCACGGGACGATATTTTCAAAAATCGCCAGTCCTTTAGATGCCCCACGTTGGTCGTCTTACTTGATGTGAAAGTTTCTTTTGACTATGTCGGTCGTCAGATATTGTGGCAGTGTCTGACGATCAGAGGTGTCCCTTTCAGGTTTATCTGTATTCGAACTCATCTCGCTGTGTACGAGTATACGGCCAGCTTTCAGCTTCCAGCAACACAAGGCTGTCCGCTCTCACCTTCCCTCCTGAAATTTGCTATTGATGTTGTGCTTGGAATTTCTGTGCCTGCTTCTGAAACCTCAGGGGTTGAAATGCTGCCGGAGTGTTTGTTCACGGACGCTAAGTATGCAAACGATATTGCTCTCCTTGATTCAGATCTCTCAAGAATGCAAACCATATTTTTTAAAAAATCTAAATAATTCTGTCGCACAACTCACCATGCACTTCAAATCTGCACAAAAAATTCTGCTAAAAGAGTGGGTTGGATCAAACCCAAACCACAGAACAGCTAATCGGCGTGGTAGGTAAATTTTTTACCTGGGTAGCTGCATAAGTTCTGGTGAACTGGTTGGACATGAGATTGCCTCTCGAATCGGAAGGGCCAGGTTGTCTTTTGCCTAGCCCCGATACCTACGGCACCGACGCGATGTTAGTTTGTCTGTCAAGGGCAGAATTTATATTGTGATATACTCTGATCCATAAGGATCAGAGACGTGGCCTCTATGCGCAGAGAACATAGGAAAGATGTCATTATTTGGTGATCGATTTCCCCGAAGC